ACGCCCCCACGTCTGAAAGTGCGAGCATGTTTGGGGGTGACTGGGATTCGAACCCGCGACCCGCAGATTGCGAATCGAGCTCCTTAACCACCTGGCCATGCCGGGCCGAGGCTCAAAGGAATGTTACAACTAAAGCTTGTGTAGGTGAATTTCTAACCTATTCTCTATAGAGCCTGGATACATATTTAATATTTTCAGTAGCTAAACGTAAGTGTTTTAAAACTTCGTATTACAGTCGCGTCATTCTACATGTTTATAACATATATATATATATACATATATATATTATAAACTATGTTTCAAATACTAAAAACTAAAAAAAATAACTGATATAATTAGAAAGTATGGAGTCTAATACGGCTCCATAGAAAGATAATATTTCAGAAAACTGTGTAAAGTTTTTGCAATAATTAGTATTTCAGAAACTGATAGCTCTGTCCTTTAGGCGTAAACCTGATGATAGAGTACCTTCTATTTTCTGATATATAAACCCTTGGTTTTACACACATTTGCCATTTTTCTTAGATTTTCCTTGTTGTGCCTAGTAAAATATTGTAGTAATTATCAATTTATGTGAATTTTCTTCTTCTTTCAGAATAGCATTTGTTAGGTTATATATTCACCGTGATTAATACATCACAAAAATGTTAACTGAAAAGCATGGAAGCTACTTAAATAAAGGAAAATACATAAAAAGTGACAGAAACGTAGAAGATATGCATACATATATGAACACATAGATTATTTTTGTCTGTACCTGACGATATCAGCATAATATAAGTATCACTTACCTGTCTCCTGTCCGAAAGAATGAAAAAAACAGTGACAGATAATAGCCCAAACTGCAAACAAATAGTGAACTGTGGTCATTTTTATGAACACGAGAATAAGTTTTTTTTTTTCAAATTGTCTCTGATCTTTTATACTTTTTTCAAGATGCTTATATATCAGAAGTTGTATGTCGCTGCATAACTAACATCAAAACTATGCGTAACTACAACTGTTTATATATTTATTAGGATCGACGGGTGCATGCTCTGTCACTATTAAACGTACTGCACACGCAAAAAAATAATAATTTTCTTGCGCTGCAGAATACGCCTTCTCCTGTTACTTTGTCATGCGATTATGATAGATAGGTTAATGAAGCAGTTCCGGTGGTTTGTTACGCTTAACTGATATTTTCCGCCTTCACACAAATAGCTCAAAAAATGAATCAGCAACGCCACTAAGATAACTAAACAAGTTTGATTTGCGCCAACCCCCAAATTCTTATTGTGCACCGCACACTGTGCAGTCACGACCACCACTGACTGAAATGTAATGGGGCAAACAGATAGGCGAGATACAGCTTCACTTCCCAATGTAAAAAAAAAAAAGAGACGAAAGAAACAACTTATCATTGTAGCGCCATCTAGCGAGTTATAACTTTTAGAATGGCGATCGAAGTCCAACGTTCTATTAGAGAACGACGTTATCGTTGAATTAATTGCTCCTGTTTCTATCTGATCGTATGAAAAAGTTGATTTTAAATAGCGTCCAACTTAGATTCTTGTTATATGAGATTCGATTATTTTTTCTCTGCGGGAATAAACATCAAAAAACAATAATATTTATAAATTTTACATTTCCATTATAGTTTAATAAACAGACCAACACAATCACTCATGCGATAATTAAATTAAACCGTTTTTCTATTTCCTATGGAAGGCGTATGGTAAGAAACGCTTTAATTAGTACATGTTATCAAACCCGTATTTCAAAACTAAGCCCAAGAATGAACAAACTTAAAAGTTTTGTTTTGTTTTGACGTATTTTGTATTAATTGAAGCCATCACAGAAGTGAAACAGGAAAATATATGCAATTCATACATCAACTTTTAGTTCTTTTTTCTAAAACTAAAAAAAAAGAAAAAAAAACAACGCGTTAAAAGAAATTGTTCAAGTTGAGATACCGAGACAAAATATTAATTGTAGTATCCACTCACATAAAAAAACAACAACTAAAATAACAAAAAACATGTAGCCCAGAATTTACACATGAATGAGTTACCATTTTGGATGACATTTGAAAAACTGAATATAATAGTTTAAAGATATTTAAGCAGCTGGTATGCTTATAAAATTATGAATGTTGTGTAATGAGTGACACTGAATAATGCACACGCACACACAAGCATTATTTAGTTGTCAGGTTTTCATTTCACCACTTTGAAATGATAATATGCACGATTTTGTTATAAATTTGTGGTCTAAGACTCACAAAAGTTATAGTGTATAAACAAGTGCATGTTCTTAGATAAAAGTATAGAGTAAGTGATAAGAAATGCCTACAACTAGTATTCTTAAGTAGAATATACAACTACCTGAATTTTAAATAAAATTTTAATTGGCATAATGATAGTATGAGGTACGCCTTGCAGGTGGTTAAAACAATGCCACCTTATATATTTTTTTTTCCTTAGGATGGTCTAATTGAACGTAAAACTCCAAGCAGCAACACAGTCACGTACACATATGTGATGTTGGTAGATGACAGAATAGTTTGGGAAAGTAATACCATACTATTAAAGAAACATAAAGAACAGAAAAATATTGTCCGCAGGCTTCACAAGTATATATATCAACTCTCTTATTGACAGATACTGGTGGAAAATACCGTACAAAGTCTGTCCTCTAGAGTGGAATGATTCTGACATAACCTAAATAAGACATCTGTTCTCTAATTTCAATTTACCGCCTTACAAAAAAGGGGTTTCAAGTTCACTCTTCTTCATCAATGAGCATTATTACAATCCGATATATACAGCTTTTGGGATTGTAATTCGTAAAATAAATTGATACTACTTCAATATTTTACTTTATTAGAAAATGCAATTCTTGTGCTCCAGCTAGTACTGTAACTGTATAACACAACCGTAAATATTGTCAATTATTATGATATATATAACGTCTTACTTTGGCGAAGCATGATGTATCAGTTGGAATCTATTGTATCATTACATAAAAATAAGATTGATAATATTTTTTTACAAATCAATTCAAATAAATATTACCAGTCTTACTGTGATGTCATGTGACACTAGCTGTCGATCAACAGATCACACTTCGCCATCATAATATTGTAAATGACTGACATAAATAGCGTTTCGACGGGACTTTGCGTGTTGCATTCCCAGCCGACCTGATGAGCTCTGGTATAAGCGAAGGACTCGTCGGCATTGGTGAGCGATCGATTTGCTATTATGTTCTTCTTACTGACGCTGGTCAATGGTTAGTGTTTTGGACTATGGATATTTAAGTCCTGCGTTCGCATCCACTTATAGCACTTATGCCGATTGAATGAGTGATAAGGATGATGACGATAAAATTCCACTATTGAATGAGTTAAAAGGACGATGATCAAATTCTACTATTGAATGAGTTAAAAGGACGATGATCAAATTCTACTATTGAATGAGTTATAAGGATGCAGATCAAATTCCACCATTTTTTCAAATAAGAGTAGTCCAAAAGCTGGCGATGGGTGCTGTTGACTAGCTACCTTCTCTTTAATCTATCAAATCAAAATTAAGAAAAGCTAGGGCAAAACGCCTTTGAACAGTTTTAAACGAATATCTGAAAACAAGGAAATATACTTTTTCCTGGAAATCTCGTAATACAAGGCCAGTAAAGAGAGTTTTGTAAGAACAAGTATTATCAGTGAGATTGCAGTACTACATCCTGTTTAATTTCCTGTATATACTTAAACTGTCAGGACAATGCTACTCACGAGATGTTCGGCAAGGATAAGATCTAATATTTCTAAACAAAAATCAAAATTGCTCCAAGACTGAAATACACAAAAATCTTTTGAGTTAAAAATAATAATTGTATTAAATATATGCCGAAAACGAAAAAAAATCATAAAAACGAAATACGTTATTCCAAACTAACACTACCGGTTGAAATAAGTGAATGAACTACAAAAGAAAATAAGTATATCCACGATTTTAAATAGGGTATATCGAAAGAAACGGAAGTTTTATAAAAAAGTTGGCGAACTGTCCGTGACTGTCCATACAACATGGATAGTGTTACTGTTTATGATGTGGAACTGGTACAACTATACTACGCCACACAGAAACACCTTCCTTTTTAAAATGCAAGTTGAAACAAGCTTAGGCCAAATGTGAAAATAAATTCAATATCTGTCATACAGTAACAGAAATACTCCTTTTTATAACGTGTTTTCCAATGCAAGTGCAGTGACTTTTGAAACACTGTATCTACATTACACGATATTCAAACTTCTACGACATTTCACTTTTTTTCTCAACATCAAAATGAGCCCAGGGAATGCATCTACATCGACTTTTATATTATTTACATTCAACTATTCATTCATGTTTTAAGAAGGAGAATTCGTTTGTAAAAAATAATGGAAAATATACATTAGCTTATACAGGTTGCATACAAAACACGGGTTTCTAAACAGGGACCTCACCAGTTGCATGATGTGGCTTTTTTAAAAAAAAAGAAACCGAAAATAAGCCTCTTCAAAAATAAATATATACATATATTATTGTAATAATAATGATAAAAGGCTTATCTAGGTTTTGACAGACAGCAGCCAAAACTGGTGACCCTGAACACATAGCTCAGATAGCACTGTGTATATTATGCGCGTGAAAAAAATGACACGTATAATAAGAACATTGTTAGTATGAAAATAATGCCAAGTTAGAAGAGACAGTTGCGACATTCTGGCCCACACAGCATTTACAGTTGTACCTATTTGCTTGGTGTTGGCCAAGGTTGCCCCAATTATTTCATATATATATATCTTTATATATATATACCTTGATGGATATTGCATAAAAAATTAACACATATTATAAGGCCTTGCGTACTATTTTGTTATTTGAAAACCACCACATTATTCAACTAGATCTTGTTGCTACTTATAGCTAGAATCTCTCTTATAAGCCTTTGTTAGAATCTAGAAATTGAAACTGTAACTCGGAAAGTTATATTTTGAAGATATATATATAATTTACCTAAAAGTTTAATAAGATTTTTGTTGTTTTACAACCTGCAGTTAAAAAGCCATAAAAGAGTCTCTTTAGTATTTTATACTAGTGCAACACGGATGTTTGTTCAAAACTGAAAACTGTATTAAATATAAGTTCCATATTGCTTGTAGTTCCGAAGAAGTGTTTTAAGAAACAATTTTATGTATTTCCGATTTATAGTTCGATATTAACGATCACTGGCGATACAATTTGACTAATTTTAACAGTGCAACATGTTTAAGGGAATTTCTTTTTCAAACATATATATATACAGGTTCATTGGAGTTTTATGTTTATAAGTCACAGTCTGACTGTTGTATTTCGACGTGATATGTAGTATTAAACTCTTATATAATATTAATTAAGTTTAAAAGAATTCAAAATATACTTGGAAAAAAAGAAATAAGCAACACTAGTAATACTGGAAAAACCTTAAGAAAACAATCATGAATTAATTTAGTAAACAAAAACATCTTATGAATATATGGCGATTTCTTTTGACGGAAAATCTATACAATAGTATTTCTAAACTCTCTCTCTCTCTTCAAAACGATTATAATAAAAGGACTGTCACGCTAGCAAATCATTATGTGTAATGAACTCAACACAGCTATGTTTTTCTGTAGGTGTTTTAAACATTTACATTAAGCTTCTTGTATAAGAAAGCCAGTACATCTACTAATGCCCAAAGAAACACACTGAACATCTGTCATTTTTATGAAATCACACGTTTTGAGCTCCTGATTTTGTTACCCCAAGGTACAATACTGCTCAAACAATCAACAAACCTATTTGCTCAATATTTCAAATGTAAATATTTTGCAGGTGCTCAGTCAGCTACTGATGTAAAACTTAGACTGTTGTATTTTCAGTGTGTTTCAGTATAGTATGCTTATATAACATACCAAAAAATATTCAGCAAGACAAAGAAAGTGTGTTATAAATATCTTGCTAGTTTTCCCTATCTATAAACATATATATATATGAAGAGAGATAAGTGTGTCTGTAAAAAATGAAGTCCAGTTATGCATGAAACTAGTAAAATAAAGTGGTACAAACTTCATGTTATTTTTTGTTGAAATCCAATATGCATAAAAAATCGAAATTTTTTATATACACATACGTTAATATACATAAATGTTTTATTATTGTATGTTTTTGGTTTATTTCGTGGGTTGGTAAACAGTCCTCGAATTACTTCTAACGTAAGATCGTATATTGTTA